CCCCGGCCAGGCCTTACGTGATGTCCTGGTTGAAGTTGGCGAAGAGCAGCTGGCCGGCGCCGGCCTCGCCGCTCTGACTCGCCAGGTTCATGGTGGGCGCGCGGCGGGCGGGTGGGCCCGACCCGGGGCTCGCGCGCGGGAGGAGGGTCGCGTGCGCTCAGGGTCGGCGCCGGTGCCCGCTCGCCGCCTGGATCGCCGCAGCTTGCTGCCCGGGAACCAACCGCCGCCTCATCCCGTCCCCGCTCTTGTTTATGCTCCGGAGCCGGGGCTCCCTGCGCGCCTGCGCAGCCCACCCCTTCGGCACACGGCCTCTCAAAGCGCAGGCGTACTACGGAGGTCCCGCCCCTTCACCTCTGGCCCAGGCTGGAGTTCCGGTTGAACACGCGCACGCGTGGGGACGCGCGGGGCGCGCTGGGCATGGCTTGCGGGCTCGTCGAACGCCGCGCATGCGCATGGGAAGGAGCAGGCCCTCGGTAACTACCCCCCTACTTTATTAATATTAAAAAGGTCGGCCATGTGCCAATCATTGTTCAAAATACTTATGTGCACTATCTTATCTGATACTATAGTAATCCTATGTGGAGAATATTGCATACTCATTTTACAGATTTGAACACTGAGGCTCAGAAATATTAACCTATTTGCCAAGTGTTAGATCTGAAAACGGAAACCCTGTTTCTCCAAGGCCCACGCCTCCGGTGTCCCTAGGAGAGGATTCCACCTAACATTCATTCATTCAATACTATTTAGGAAGCACCTTCCATGTGAACTAAGTGGGCGTCCTCCTTTCCCTCAGACGTTACAGTGGGGAGTTACTTAAGCACAATTACAAAGCCGGGAGACCATGAGAACACGTGATGAGGTCACTTAACCTAGACGTAAGGGACGGGCTGTGCAGAGAAGGATGTGTGCGGTCATATGTAAATATATAAATATACAGATGTAAATGCCTGTATCGCCAACCACTGAAGTCAAGGTACAAGACGGGCCACGTCTTAGTGGCCCTATCAGTTGGCATGGTTTCCTATGGGCTGTTATTATTGAGTAGAGGCACGTAAACAGGTCCCTGAGTATATCCCCTGGGTTCTAGAAACACTCCTTGACTTCATTTTGAAAAGCCACCTAATTTCCTCTCGTTCACCAGAAACTATTATTCCATCAAGGATAGTAACTCCTTCTCTCTATTGGTTCAGCAAATGAAGACCCCAAAATAGCCAGGGGTTGACTGAGTTTCCAATTTACCAGAACCATGACTCTTCCCTGGAGTAACAGGGGACCCTTTGGGTACTAGAATATCAAAACCCAGTGAACCTAGCTGGGGTTGTGTGGATAGAAACAAAAATTTCTTAAGTGGATTATTAGATATAATGTGAAAGGAAACACTACCACTTCCACTCCTAGTTTGCAGGCACGTTCTTTCTATCGTAGAATAACTCCCCAATCTCTCAGGGTGTGGTCTCTTAGCTGTTACCACAGCTGAGTCTTCAGTAGGCCATTTTACCCTCTATCTGGGTAATAGAGCATATGATACGGATGGTGAATTCCAAGGGCATTAGCTCATTGTCAAACTTCCTTCACCTTAATGTAAATTTTTTTGGTCAGGAGAGAATTGGTATGGACACCTGGATAACCCTATTAAAAATGGTAACCTCCATACTTCCCCTATCCCTTTCCTTGCTTTATATTTCTACATAGCACTTATCACCTTCCAATAGACTAGCGGTTCTCAACCTGTGGGTC